AAGGAGGGAGAATAAACAGGGTACAATCAAGGCCAGATACTGATGGCAGCAGTAAAGAAATCTCGGTTGCACGCTGTTGTCAAGTCAATGGTGAGTTATAGCAACCCAACAGGACAGAGTGGAACTGCCCCTTGTTGTTGCTGTTATTGTTAGATATCATCGCATCGAGTCTGACATAGCATCGGAATCCCTGTGAACAGGGCATGTAACCCCTGTCCTATCCTGTGCCATCCTCAAAATCTCTAACACACTCAAGCCCATCTATGTCAACCCCCCTGGCTGACGATGTCTCCTCTCCTTTGTCACCCATCTACCTTTCCAAGTCCTTCTGCAAGGAATAACTTCTCCCAACAACATACCCAAAGTATGTGAGGCAAAGCATCATCATATTTGTCCCCAAGGAGCACTCTGGCTGCACTTTTCCCAAGATAAATCTGTTCGGTTTTTGGCAGTCCATGGAATATTCAGCACTCTTCTTCAACACCATAGTCCAAAGGCACTAATTCTTTTTCTGTCATCCTTACTCATTGTCCAGATGTCAGCACATAGCAAGTTACCGAAAAAACCCATGCCCTGAATCAAGTGCCCCTTAGTCCTCAAACTAACATCATTTCTCAATAATTTGGAGAGGTCCCTGACTGCAGACTTTCACCTGCTCTCCTGACTGCTGTTACCAAGTGTATCAACTGAACTATCCCTTAAGAGTTCCTAAATTCAGAACGTTTACAGACGCAGAACGCCTTATTTTCTACCCCAGGGTGGCTAGTGGGTTCAAGCTTCTAACCTTTCAAGTAGGAGACAAGTGCTTAACTATTGCACCACCAGGGATCCTTTTAGAAGCCCACAAAAAGCCACCATTCAGGGTATGTCAATACAGAACAGCTAGGAAGTTCTGACAAAGATGTCACAGCTCTCTCCCCCCCCCTCTCTCTCTCTTACAGGTATGTTGTTTAAAGTCTGGTTGGACAGTATCTGACTGCACAGAGCTCTGTAATGCCATAACATTTTTTGTTGTTTATTTTTAAGGAAAAGCAGCTCCGCTTTTGTACATTATTTCCCCCAAATGGTTTTAAAGGGAGCTCTGGTGGTGCTGTGGTTAGTGTATGGGCCTCACCAGCCACTTCAAGAAGCATGGGCCAGTCTGTTTCCACACATTACAGCTTTGGGAACCCTCTAAGGCAGATCTGCTATGCTCTGCTGGCTCGTTATGAGTCGGAGCTGACTTGAGGGCAGAGGGGCTGGGATTTAATGGTATAAGGACCTCAAGTCTCCAGCATGAACATGCTACACCCCAGTCTCTGCAGCATCCCCTCCATCCCTTTCTCCTGGCTTCGCTCACCCATCCAGCAGCCCCGCAGCCTTTCATTCCTGGGTGTGGCTCATCCAGTCCAGCCACGGTCACTGGTGGAGCTGACCTGGTCCAGGGCCCTCTTGGGTTCCCAGCTCCAGGCAGCAGCTGTCCACAATCAGGAGTCAGCCACGCCAATAGGGTGATGGTAGCCAGGTCAACCACTGGTAGATTAGCTCCTGGCATCTGCATGCCTCAACCCCAGGCCACCTCTCCACGCCCTGCCCTCCTGTGCACTCAGATGTCCACAAAGTCCCAAGTTCCAAGCTGACTGCCAGCACCATCCTGCCCAGCGCAGCCCTGCTAGGCCTGGACATACACTCAGCAAGGCCAGTCTCCTGGAACCTGCTTCCAGGCTTTATCCACCTGGCTTCTTGTGGACACCAGATCTGAACCCTGCCCTATTCTGACAGATCCTCACCACGTCTGCCAAGCTCAAGACCACTGCTTCAGTCACTTTGTGCGTCTGTCTTGTTGGGGGGGTCTTCCTCTCTTTTGCTGACCATCTACTTGAAATGAGCATGCAGAAAACCTAAAGATGTTCTTTGTGGGCAAATGCAGGTGGGTTCATTACTTTTTAGCATTACAGGGCACTAAATGAATAATTAATGATACCATTGTTTCATGAATAATAATTAATAATGTTATTGTTCAGTGTCATACAGTCATAATCGTGTGGATCTGACTCTTAGCTGCCCCTCTGAAAAGTTCCCAGAGACAGTTACTCTCACAGGAAGAGGTTGCCTATCTGTCTCCCTTACAGCAGCCTCAAACCAAGTCCCTTCGGGAATGCAGCACAGCTTCTTGTCACTAGGCCACCAAAGCTCCCTACAAATTACTGTTATTGTTGCTATACTATTTTTGCCTAATTGATGTTAACAGGGAATAAATTATAATCTTACTCTAAAAAAAAAAGAAATTTCATGGGGCTTTAGTTACACATTGTGCGGGGACTACCTGAATCAAATATGGTATTTTTATGACATCCAAATCACGTAACAATCTCCTACTGCACAGAATGGATGTTGGACATTATGCAATGCATATGTCTATGTGTGCATGTATTTGCAATTATATTAAAAGAAATTTAACTAACATATTTCAGTCTAGAGACTAAGGTGTGCCTGATCCAGGCCATGGTCTTCACAATTACTTGCTATGCCTCAGAGAGCTGGATGACAACTGAGGATCGCAAAAAACAATTGATGCCTTTGAGTTGTGGTGCTGGGGAAGCGGTACTGAACATACCATAGACCAACAAGAGAATAAATAGGTCTGTCTTGGAGAGGGTGAAACAAGGCTGCTCCTTAGAGGCAAGGATTTTGAAGCTCCATCTCACATACTTTGGGAACGTGGCCAAGAAGGACCAGTCCTTGGAGAAGGACATTATTCTCAGAAGGGTAAAGGGACAGTACTGGAGAGGATAACTTCAGATGAGATGGATCGATATAGTAACAGTGGTAGGTGTGTTGGAGTCAGTGAGACTGTCTAGGGACAAGGCAGGGTTCAGTGCTACATAGGGTCATTATGAGATGCAGGCAATTCAATGACACATAAAACAACATTATCAAATGTTAACAGTTACTAACTAATCGAAAAATTTAACAAAATTTAAAATATTCATAGAGTTTGTGCATACGTAGAGGAGAAGGAGGGAAGGAGAGAGAGGAAAAGGGAGAGAGACAGAGACACAGAGAGAGAGACAAAGAGAGAGGGAAAAAGAGAGAGAGAGAGGGAAGGAGGGGGAGAGAGAGAGAAAGAGAACATGATAGAAAAGAGATAAATCTATTTATCTGAGGGAAATAATACCATGCATCTAAGTTTTAAGTGGAAAAACAAACAAATTATTAACAAACTCTTAAAGAAGGGTAAAGAGGAGGTAGGCTTATTCAGGCACTAAAGAAATATAAAGCAAAACTAAGTAGAATAATGTGATATAGATACAGGACTAAGCAGAAAACTCAATGGAACAGGAAAGAAAGATTATAATGACATCAATGGATATATAAGAATGTGACCAATGATCAGGATGGGGATCCAAAATCAGAGGGGGAAAAAAGACTGAATAAATGCTGCTGGGTCCCCGACAGGTGAAAAACAATGAAGTCCAAGGATCGCTTCCAGGGTGCTTATTTTGAGTGAAGATGTGCAGAGCAAACATGGCATCGACTCAACAATTTCTATATGTACAATTCAGGGACAAGTGTTACCTTCAAGTTGTGCCATCTTTCTCAGTATCTTTTCAAGTTGTTTCACCATCAGCACTATAAACTCACTGTCACCTAAGTGCCTCATTTATCCCTGTGGTCAAGTTACTCTCACATAAATAACTCCTTGAAAGAGCACAACACTCAAGGCAGATTCTCTTTTCCAATGAAGCTGAACTGTTTCAGGGAATCATTTCAGTTAAAGTTTTAAAACATTTCTCACAGCAATGGTTTCAGGAGGACAGCAGCCATAGTGGCTCCAGAAAGTCTGGACCCCCTGCAGATTTTGAAATTCTGTTCTACATGTTACTCCCTTTTGGTAAAGATTCTTCTATAAAATATTTCATTAAATAATATAATATATAATAAATGTT